AGGCATGTGTGCATGTGTGCCCAAGAGCCTGGGAGGAGAATGGACAAAAAAGGATTGCAGTGTGGCCATTCCCCCTGGGGGTTGATTTTTCACTTTCCCCCTCATTGTCTCTGTCTCTGTCTCTCTGGTGAGCCCACACATCCTAAGGCAAAAACATCTTTTAAAAAAAACAAAAAAACAGAAAGTGGAAATTAAGAGAAATAAAACATGAAACATCTCAGTGGTGAAAATACATAATCTGATGTAACTTGGAAAAAATCTTAGATGTATTTGCTTTGCAGGACCTGAAAGCGCACACACACATATACATGAATTATGCAAACAAAAGAAGAAAAAACTGGAATTTGAATTTGGAGTTTTAGGCAATTAATTACTGGGATTTTAAAAATTGTTATGCCAGCAGGGGGCATCATGGTTAAGGTGCTAGACTCCTATATGGTTGACCACAGTTCCAGTCCCAGACCTGGCGGATTGCAAATCAGGCCAGGCACATGTGTATGGCAAAACAACAGCCACCAAAAAACAAAAAACAAACAAACAAAAAAAACCCTGAAATAAATAAATAAATAGACAACAACAACAGAAATCAACTCAGTAATAACGGGAGAACAGAGGCCAAAATTGAATTAGGTTTGAATTAGTTTACCATAGGATGTCAGAAGAGAAGAGAGAAGTATTCTAATTTGTATTTTATTCAACTAGCTGTAAGACCTTGGGCAGCTAATTTTCTGCCTCTTCATACATACGTTTGACTAAGCAATTGTTTAAGGCTCTTGTAGATTAAAAGTGAGCAAGAAAATGGGGAGGAGGAAGGAGCCACATTTAAAGAGCGATAGCTCAGAAGATTTGGCAGATTTATGGGCTGATCCCGATGTGAGGCAGGACTGGAAACAAAGTGAGTGATAATAAAGAGTAGAACATGGAGGGCATAGCTCTGGAAACATACAGATTCTTAGTGCTTTGTTAGAATCTGAGATTTTATATCTTGTGGTCTGTCTGGGCTGGCTTTTCCAGTAACCCACGTTATTTTGATCTGTGATATTTATGACGAGCAAGCATTATCAATCAATAAGTTTCTTGAAGCAGTGCCGAAGTCCTAGTTTTTCTTTCTTTTCAGTCATAGGGGAAGGCTAAATAGCAGATTCTGTGAGTGTGTTACAGAAATAGTTGCAAATAGGGATTGTGTTACAGAGGTCGTGAATAGAGATTGTGTGAGTGTGTTACAGAGATAGTTGGAAATAGATTGTGTGAGTGTGTTACAGAGATAGTTGGAAATAGATTGTGCGAGTGTGTTACAGAGGTCGTTGTAAAGAGATTGTGTGAGTGTGTTACAGAGGTCGTTGTAAATAGATTGTGCGAGTGTGTTACAGAGGTCGTTGTAAATAGATTGTGTGAGTGTGTTACAGAGGTCATTGTAAATAGATTGTGCGAGTGTGTTACAGAGGTCATTGTAAAGAGATTGTGTGAGTGTGTTACAGAGGTCGTTGTAAATAGATTGTGCGAGTGTGTTACAGAGGTCGTTATAAATAGAGATTGTGCGAGTGTGTTACAGAGGTCGTTGTAAATAGATTGTGTGAGTGTGTTACAGAGGTCTTTGTAAATAGATTGTGCGAGTGTGTTACAGAGGTCGTTGTAAATAGATTGTGTGAGTGTGTTACAGAGGTCGTTGTAAATAGATTGTGTGAGTGTGTTACAGAGGTCGTTGTAAACAGCTTGTGGGGGTGTGTTACAGAGGTCTAAATAGATTGTGTGAGTGTGTTACAGAGGTCATTGTAAACAGCAGATTGTGCGAGTGCGTTACAGAGGTCCTAAACAGCAGATTGCGCGAGTGCGTTACAGAGGTCGTTGTAAACAGCAGATTGTGTGAGTGTGTTACAGAGGTCGTCGTAGTAAACAGCAGATTGTGCGAGTGCGTTACAGAGGTAATGAGGATGTGAGCCACACCAGGGATGGAGAGGAGCCTGCTTTGGAAGGCAGCAGGACAGCATTACATTACTAAGTTTCAGAAGTTCTGGGCAAGAAGCTAAGAATAAACTGATACATGATTTGTTCAGTTCCATCCCTCCAAAATATCTACGAGATATTAAAATATTTATCTAGGCACTTCCTGCATTTTGTTGGAGGCAGTGACAGATATATACGGATATAGATATAAAAAGAAAACTCATAATGAGGGAGATTAGTGTTACATGTAGAATAAAACAGCAATAGCAGCGTAACTCTAACACACCTACTAAAGGGAAGCCTTTACCTGTTCCTTTTATTTTAATTATTATTCTAAGATTAGGATACTAGGTATCAGTGCTTTTATTCAAAAATACACTGAGAAGAGGCTAGCAGGTAGTCTAGTGGTTCAAGTGCTAGACTCCCACATGGCCAACCACAGTTCGAGTCCCGATCCCAGCGACTTGAAAGTCATGCCAGATGCATGTATGTGTGTGCCCAAAATCCCAAGAAGAGAATGGAGGAGAAGGGATTGCCATGGCCATCCCCACAGGGGAAGGTGCTGATTTCTCACTTTCTGTCTCTCTGGCAAGTGCACATGCCCTATAGATAAAAATCGCCCTTCCCTCCAAGAAAAATAAATACACAGAGGGGGATTTTTAACTCTAAATTTTATAAGATAACATGTATTTGTTGTAACTGATTTAATATTTGAAATGAGAGGTGTGTGCAGTTCCCCTAGCTACTTACCGAAGAAATGATGTCAACTCTAGCCAAGATGCTAGATCGAATCTGTGTGTCCCATGGTCCTTGTCTCTGCATTCCAGTTTCTCCTGGAATGGCCACGTCTTGCTTTAGAGGCATAATTACTAAGTCAGTCTTTCCCTGTGCACTTTCTTTCTTCCTTTTTAGTGTTTTTTTTTTTTTTAATTGCCAGAGTCTATGTGCACTCACCAGAGAGAGACAAAAACAGAGAAAGAAAGGGAGAAGGTACCCACCAAGGGAGAGTGTTCATACCAAAATCACTTCCCCTTCACCTCTGTCCTGTTGAGACCTCAAATGCACACACACACACACACACACACACACACACACACACACACACACACTCACACACACACACACACACACACACACACACTCACACACACACACGCACACACTCACACACACACCGCCTGGCATGTTTTTCAAGTCACTGAGGCTGGGAGTCAAACCGTGGTCAGCCATGTGGGACCCGGCTCCCTCAGGACAGTGCTGGAACTGCTGTGCTTCAGGGCCTGGCTCTCGTGTTCTGGCTGAAATCTGAACAAGCGCAATCTTTTTATCTTTTTTTTTTTTTAAAGTATGCTACCTTATATTTTTCTTATTTATTTATTGATTGATTGATTATTTAAATTTATTTATTTACATTCATTCACTGTACCATGACAACATACAAAATGAGATTTCCCATCCAGAGTACACTGTATATTGGCTCAATCAAGCACATCAGCATACATGTTATCATCAACAAATAATTTTCCATTTCTTGTTTTCTGTATGTTTTGCTTTTTTTTTTTTTTGTCCTCATTCTTGATTCCCTATCTCTCACCCTCTGCCATCTCCCACTCTCCTCCCACACTGCACTCTAGGCAGACACTGGGCGGGGTATGCACTTGCAGATGCTGCTCTTAGAGTGCTGCTGTCATTACTCCACAGTACGCTGGGAAGCCCAGCGATCGAAGTTTCCCTCGCAGCCTCTCCACCTTATTTTGTGATAGGTACAGATGTCCAGGGGTTCTACTTACTGTGTTACTTGAGAAAGTATTCCTCCGTGCATCTTCACCTCCCTGCCTTCTACACCTCTCTCACTTCCCCAGAATGTTCTTCCTGCTCATTCTACCAGCTCTTCAAAATATTTTCATATTCCACTGCCTCAGTAAAGCCTTCTCACACCATTCACCATTCCTCTGACGAATGTCTGAGTTCATGGTCACTTCTCTCAATTTGGGGATTTTTGTGTTAGTTGCCAGATGGCACCTGTATTCACTAGAGAGACAGAGAGAGGGAGATGGACGAAGCATCCCTCAGTGGAGCATGGTCACGTGCAGTCCCTTCATGTTTCTACCTTGCTGGGATCTGGAGCATGGACACACACCACTTGGCATGTCTCTTCAAGCTGCTAGGGCCAGGATTAGGATCATGTGGTTGGCCATGTGGGATCCAGCTCCCCTAACCAACCAGGCCACAGGGCTGGAGCCAGTGATATGTTGTTTCATTATCTATCATGAGTGCATTTTTGTTTCTCTTGAGCATATCTTGATGTATCATGAGTTCTTACTTTACATTGACTACTTAGCATCTAACTAGATAGTATATTCACAATACAGATGTGGCTTGTGCCCTTATGGGATCTTTTCTCTGTCTCCAGGTTCTTAGAATCTAGAAAAGTACTAGGTACACATAAATATTTACTATATAATTATAACACGTATTTAAAATAGATTGCTTAATTAGGGGGCTCTTTCATCTTTGTTAATGTGGTGGATTACACTACTCATTAGCAGAGTATTCTTCCCTTTAGAAATGCCAGTCTTAAAAATAATCGTAATTTTTTTTTTTTTTTAATTAGAGTAAAAGGGCCAGTGGCACAGAGGTTAGGGCATGTGGATTTCATTTTGTTGACTGTGTGGTTCAAGTGCCAGACCCAACAGCTTGAAAACCATGCAGGGTGCATGTGCATGCATGCCTCAACTCCCAAGAGAACAGAGGAGAAGGGATTGCGCCATGGCCATCACCCCTAGGGGGTGATTTCTCACTTTCCCTCTCTGTCTTTCTCTATCTCTGTAACCTACAGCAAAAACCAAACCAACTTAATCTAAAAAAATGCACACAAAAAATTTAAAATATAAACAAAGCCAGTCTTACTCATTCTACAGTGTGGTAACATTCTATAGTATTACACAAAAAATAAACACCTTGGGATTTCCTTACATGACTGTCATGACAACTGACAAGTGTATTTTATCTATGCTTTACAACTATGATCACTAACTGTAATTTTTTTTTTAAAGGTCCTCCTGGACCCCCAGGTGAAAAAGGAGATAGAGGTCCCACTGGAGAAGTTGGTCCACCGGGCGTTCCAGGTCTAATAGGTACGGTAATGGTAGTTACTCTCTCACACGCTAAGAGGATCTATGGTAATAGTAGTTCTCTCTCACACACAGGGAGGCTGTATGGTAATTGTGGTTACTCTCTCACACGCTGGGAGGTTCTATGATAATAATAGTTACTCTTGCATGCTGGGAGGCTCTATGGTAATAGTAACTCTCACACGCTGGGAGGCTCTATGGTAATAGTAGTAACTCTCACACACTGGGAGGCTCTATGGTAATAGTAACTCTCACACACTGGGAGGCTATGGTAATAGTAGTAACTCTCACACACTGGGAGGCTCTATGGTAATAGTAGTAACTCTCACATGCTGGGAGGCTATGGTAATAGTAACTCTCACATGCTGGGCAGCTCTATGGTAATAGTAGTAACTCTCACACGCTGGGAGGCTATGGTAATAGTAGTAACTCTCACACACTGGGAGGCTATGGTAATAGTAGTAACTCTCACACGCTGGGAGGCTATGGTAATAGTAGTAACTCTCACACACTGGGAGGCTATGGGAATAGAAGGAAATCTCACACGCTCGGGGG